TGTTTTTTATTATCTAATCATTTAACAAGAAATGGTTCATGCCATTTCTTTATTAAACCATTAAAAAAATGGTGCATACCCATTATTTGTTATCAAATTACTAATTGAAAATAATGGGTTTACACCATATTTATTATCAAATTGCTAATAATTTAATAATGTAATAATGTGAACTCTTAAAACTTCATAGATTATATAAATTAGTTTTAACCCTTACAATTTAAGGGATAGTTAAATAAATTATAATGTTTAAAAGCTCACTAACTTGTACTTAATTACCCTAGTTATAACTATAATAGAATTTCGGAAAAATATTTCCGTAAAGAATTCCTCCTGTTTCAGGTATTGTAGGGTTCAAGCCCATGTAATAAATACGTTTCCACCTTGAACTACAAAGATAATCATTTATTTTAATAACATAAAATATTGACACGAGTTCCAATATAATATAAAATGCTTGGTTCTAATGTAATACCAATAATAAAAATTGTCGATCTTTAATTCAAAATCGAATCACCCCTTTTTACTATTCCAAATTCAGTAAAATATTTTTTGTGTTTTTGTTTTCCAAATAATACCCCTTTGAATAATAATAATGATTCGTTTTCGATTATCATAGTAACAATACTCTTAAAGTATCATAGTAATAATAATACTAATAATGTATAATAGGAACTATATAATACTAAACATTATATATGGTACAGTTTATAAATTCACTGGCATTACAGTATTTAAATAAGAAAATGATCTGCAGAAAGTAAAACCTTGTACATAATAAATCATGATTTGGCACAAATTTTCAACCCCACGTGACCTAAAAATATTCAACACCAGCGTCACACCCATCGCATTTTCACTGTTTATATTTATTTATTTTTTTTTTTTGCCTCCCGAAATTATTTTTTCACATCCCTTTAATGTCACCGGTCACGTGGATGTAGAATTTTAATTATAAAATTGTTGGTGTCACAACGGTAAGTCATAATTTGGCCAAAAGTTTACTTCATAACTAAAAACAAAAAAAATGAAAAAAATAAATAAAAATAGATGTTATAAAAAATTGAACTCAATTGATTTATTAATATAAATAATAAATTAATTGTTTAACACCAACAATCCATGTTTATGTGGAAATTGAGTATTAATTTAAAAAATGATGAATACTCTATTTTGTATGTTGTATTTATTATTCATAATCTTTGAGAGTGGTTGAATATCGCTTCTCAAATTAAAAATGCCTACATACACTATGCAATCAAATTCACTATCCATGCTATAAATAGGGTATAAAAAATCAGCTTTATGATAATAACAATCCAATGGATCACATAATAATCTATCAGTATTAACTTAAATTTATAGCTCTCTAAATATGATTAATTATTTTACCGTCTTTGCTTTTATAACAAATAAAATGCACAATGTACGGGTAGGGATTGGAATCGATTAATCACGATTAATCGAATCTTGAGATTCGATTCTAAGATTCGATTTTCAATTTCGATTAAATCGATTCTAATCGATTCTATACATCATAAAAAAAATTGATCATCATTCGTAATTCAATTTGTGCCACAACAATTTAATAGGCTAAAAATCTATTATTTTATATGGGCGTTGCTAAATTTCACTGCTGGTGATTCTCACCGCTTAATTTTGGTGAGAATTATAATTTGGCCAAGGTTAATTGTGTAACCTAATAAAAAAGTTTTTGACTTTTTTAGTTACAAGGTGGTACAAAAATTGCACCAATGGGCCCGAAAGAAAGCAATATACAGTTAAATCTTGTGTAACTTTACTGCATAAGTCACTTTACTTAGGAAAATCTATTTCGTAATGGTTAAGTTTGTATACTTAATTGATGGATATTTGACCACTTTTAGGGTCATTTAGACTACTTTTAACCATCAACTACCCTAGTTGATGGTAACATTTGACCACTTTTAAACCATTAACTAAAAAAGTCACAATTAACTCTGTCCAAATTATAATTCTGGCCAAAATTAATCAGTAAAAATCATCTGCGGTGAGATTTAGCAACGCCCTATTTATTTTTTTATGTTAATTAATATATAAATTAAAGTAATTTTACTGTTGCAATAATTAAATGTAAGTAAATTAATTTATATAAAAATAATATAAAACAAATTAATTAATTTAAAACTATTTCAATAAAATAAAAATAATCAAATTACTGCGCCATAGTAAAAGATTCGATTTTTTAATTCAATTTTCGATCAATTCGATTTTGCTAGAATCGATTCCATTCTCTATGTACGGGACACTTTACAAATTTTAAAAACTCAGAAATATTCGGTAAAGCTTAATATAAAATAAAAATTATATGCTAATTTTGGAATGATATCAGATTTTTCTGGAAATTTTAAAAGAATTTTGATATCATACCAGGTGTTAACCATAAGAAACATTGATATAAAGGCCCCAATTTATTTTTTTTATCAACAATCGAGCAATTATATCGATTTTCACTAAAAATTTTAATCATGAGAGATTTATGCTTGCTAACATTTTGAGTTATGTAATGAGAAAAATGTGAGTTGACAAAATATGATAAAAGGAACAATGTGGTAGTTATAGAAGATAAATATGATAACAAAATAAAGAAAATAAATTTATTAATTTATTAAAATTAGGCGTATTTATGCTTTTGTAGTTATTATGTATTGACATTTATTCTTTAGTGAAAAAAATTTTATGGGTCCATCGCATGTAAAATTTGAAATTATATTATATTAGAAGTTGATTCATTGTTCAATTACAGACTGATTTTATTCATGTAAAAAAGTTTACACATACTCTATAATCAGTGTTAAACAAAATAATAATAAAAAGATAAATAAGAATATATATTATTATAACTTGAATAGATGGATAAAAAAATAAAAATATGAAAATATGATATGTAAATATCTTCATTTTCAAATTGAGAAAGTATAAATAAAATAGTTTTAAATTTTAATAAACCATTTTAATTTACTCGGTAAAATCAAAAACTTCTACTGAAATATTGTCATAATTTGGAATATCATTAAGGCATCGCGAAATATTATAAGCATGTGGATGAGTAGTTGATTGGTCATTTTCAATAGATAATAAATTTGCTATTCTATATTCATCTGCTTTTTCAAATTGATTTTTAATTTCTTCATTTTCATTTGAAATAAATAATTTAATTAATTCTTCTATTTCAATAGCACTTGGTCTATTGTCCGGATTTGAATCCCAACATCTTTTCATTAAGTCAATGTAACATTTTGGTGCTTCTTGCTCATTTATTTCAGGTCTAATTCCATTACATATGTTTATCATTAAAATACTATCATGTGCACAATTTGCAAAAGGTTGTCTTCTAGTTGCTACAAAATACATAATCATACCAAAACTGTATATATCAGCTGCTTTAGTATATGGTTTTTGTTTTAATACTTCAGGAGCTACAAAAGGCATAACTCCAAAAATTTTTGTTTTATCTACATTATTAACTTCTCCACATAATCCCATATCTGATATATATATATTACTAATAGGATTTTTAGTATTTATATAATATTCATTAAATTCATTAAATGATGACAGTATATTTCCTGTATGAAAATCACGATGAACCATATTATTTTTATGAATTTTTTTAAGCCCTTTAATAATATCTCCTAATGCAAATAATCTTTCCTGCCAAACCCAATTTACAATATATTTATTAATATAACTATTAAAATCTCCTCCCTTTGCATATTGAAGAACCATAATATAATCCTTTGTATCAGGATTTTGGGATATTCCAAATATTTGAATAATATTTTCATCATTATCAATAGAATATTTTTTAACCTAAAAAAATATAAAGTGAAAATTATTATACAGAAAAATATAAGTTAATTTTGAGAAAAATTCATACCTCATTTAAAAATTCATCGCTAATATTTTGGGAATTAAATAAATTTTTTAAAGCAACTTCTTTATTAGGCGTTCTTTTCCATCTCACATTATAAGTGTCATATTCTAATGGACCATCCTTCCATATTGCTGAGTATATTACGGCAAAACCTCCTTTTCCTATTTCTTTAATATTATTAAACTGATTATATGGAATCCATTCAACTATTACATCATCATAATTACTAATTTTTGATTGCATTTCTTGAATAAAATTATCAATTTTCTCATTTCCGCTAGTACAATTTGCAAAATTTTGTTTTAAATAATTTCTATGACATAGTTTACACCACCTCTCTCTCATATTTGCATATATTTCACCACAATTTCCACAAAAATCATCACTGAAAACTATAATATAATCTTTCGTATCTGGATTTTGAGATATTCCGTATACTTTAGGATCATTTTTTTCATCTGCTTTGATAAAATATGATTTAACCTGTTATAAAATACAAAAAGTTAACATAAAAATTGAAATTATTAAGAAATTGGTTAATTACAAAAAATTAAAAATTTCACACCTCATTTAAAAATTCATTAGTAACATCATGAGAACCTAATAGGCATTTTAAAGTGACCTCATAGTTAGGTGTTCTTTCATATTCTTTTTCATAATCATAATTCAATGAACCATCCTTCCATATTGCTGAATATAGTATAGTAGAATCATTTTTGCTTATTTCTTTAATATCACTAAACTGGTTATATAATATCCACTCAACTATTAAATCATTACTTGTCTTAATTTTCATTTGCATTTCTTGAATTAATTCATCAACTTTTTCATTTCCACTGGTCCAGTTTGTAAAATTTTGTTTTAAGTTATTTATTTGACATGATTGGCACCAATTATATACGCATACATTGCCACAGCTTTTACAATAACTATTTTGAAGTACGATAATATAATCTTTTGTATCTGGATTTTGGGATATTCCGTATATTAAAAGTATGTTATTTTCATATTTGTTAATAGTAATAGTATATGATTTGACCTATTAATATATATATTTATAAGTTATAATAAAAGCACATTAAAATTAAAATTAAAAAGAAATTGTTAAATTACAAAAATTAAAATTTCATACCTCATTTAAAAACTCATTGGTAATATTTCGTGAACTTAATAAGCATTTTAAAATGACCTCATGGTAGTTAGATGTTCTTTCGTAGTGTTCTTTTTCATAACTATATTCTAATGGACCATCAATCCATATTGCAGTAAATATTATAGCGGAATCATTTTTGTTTATCTCTTTGATATCATTGAACTGGTCATATTGTATCCATTCAACTATTATATCTCTAGGTTTATTGATTTTCATTTGCATTTCTTGAATTAGTTCATCAATTTTTTCGTTTTCGCTGGTTCGGTTTGTAAAATTTTGTTTCAAATTATTTATTTGACATGGTTTACACCATTTACAATCTATTTTTGAATATATTACACCACAACTTTCACAATAATCATCTCTAAGTACAATAATATAATCACTTGTATTTGGATTACGAGATATCCCATATATTATTTCATCTTTATTTATATCAATAATATATGATTTAACCTATTAAAACACAACATGTATATGCATTAAAAGTTATCATGATAAATAAAAATTGAATTACGAAGATAATAATGAATCAAAAATTTCATACCTCTTTTAAAAATTCATTGATGTTTTCTTGAGAGTTATGTAAACATTTTAAAGCAACTTTTTTATTAGGGATCCTTTCATATTCCTTTTTATCATATTCATATTCTAATGGACCATTCATCCATAATGCAGAATATAATGTAGAAGAATCATCTTTGTTTATTTCTTTGATATCATCAAACTGGTTATATGGTACCCACTCAACAATTAAGTCTTGACAACTTTTAATATTCATTTGCATGCTTTGAATTGATTCATCAATTTTTTTATTTTCACTGCTCCAGTTTACAAAATTTTGGTTTAAGTTATTTATTTGACATGATTTGCACCATTCAACATATATATTCGTGTATATTTCACCACAGATTTCACAGTAATTACTTTGAAGTACTATAATGTAATCCTTTGTATCTGGATCTTGAGATATTCCATATATTTTGTTATTTTCATAATTAACAATAGGATACGATTTAACCTGTTAAAATATTAAAAAAATTATGATAATGAAAACACTTTAAATTGAATTACAAAGAGAAATCATTGAATCATTAAAAATTAAGAAATTAAAAATTTTCGTACCTCATTTAAAAATTCATCAGTAATATTTTGAGAATTATGTATACATTTTAAAGTAACATTTTTATTATTAGGCCATAATGCTGAATATAACGTAATGGAATCATCTTTGCTAATTTCTTTGATATTATTAAACTGATTATGTGGTATCCATTCAACTATTATATCATCATAATTATTAATTTTCATTTGAATTTCTTGAATTAATTCATCAACTTTTTCATTTCCACTGGTCCAATTTGTAAAATTTTGTTTTAAATTATTTATTTGACATGGTTTACACCAATTATCAAATATACATTTTTCACCACAATATTTACATTCGATATCGTTATCTTGATCATCATCTTGATTATCATCTTGAGATTCACTATCATCGTCTTGAGATTCAATATCACCATTTTGAGATTCGACTTCATCATTTTGAGATTCAATATCATAGTCTTGAGAAGACATGATTAGAAGTAATTTTTATTTTAAAAAAAAAAAATAAAAATAAAAGTAAAATACTTTTATCGCCGTTTTCGAATTACTGTGATCAGGTGATATCTTACTTGTATAAAAAAAATAATACCGAAAATATACCGAAAACAACCAAAAATAAAAAGTACAGCTTATTTATACTAATGAAAAAAATAGATAGAAACGAAAAAATAGTTAGAAATTATACAAATAAAATGAAAAAGTATTATCTGTTATTTGATTTTTTTTTTTTTTTTTATAAGAACCTTGGAATTTATAGGACCCCGAAAAATACATAAAAAGGTCACATTTGAGTTTGCTTAAAAAGAACCTAAATTTTCATGAAAATCTTGCCTTTTTTAGATAGTGCCGGCCTAAATTTTATTGTCCGTTTTGATACAGGCCAGCATTATCATAATTCCGGCCCTGAAAAGTTGCTTATTTTAGGCCAAAATCTTGCCGATCATTTATGACCTCCATATGTATTTTTCGGGGTCCTGAATTTATAGGAATCGGTTTTTAGGAACCGGAAGTTTATACGATTGTGGCTTAGCATTACAAAGATCAAATGATATCCATAGTATTTATAGTAAAATGTGTCAATTAATAGTTTGATCGACATGTGACACTAAATTTCATACAATTATGCAGGTAAAAAGTAAAACTTTACGCCCAAGACTTCGACAAATAGAAATTTTGTTTAACCAGCCATTAAATGGTGTAACTAAACATGAAATGTAACTAAACATGAAAAAAAAATAAATATTAAAAAGCGTACAAGGGTGAACTTTTAGCAGAAAGTGTTAAGATATCAAAGCAAATCAATATCTTTTTGTGAGTCTTCACTTTATTAAAAATTAACGTAATATTATATGATCATGATGATCGAATGAACAAATAAAAAATAAAACCTAAATTTAAAATTTCTTAACATCCGTCATTTTTATTCCCTAGGTAATTATATAAACTGTAAGATGATAGGTATTAAAATTTTATGACATACAGTATGTTAAAATTTCAATAATTCGAAGCTTTGAATATTATTTAAATATTTTTTTGATGAAAGTTAAGTATTTGGGACAACTGACATTTATCGATAGGACATTAGATGATTGATGACTTTTTTTTTTAAAAAAAAACTAGCTAAATTTTATACTTAAACTACTTTTGTAAGGAGAAAAAGGATGGTTATCTAATAGTATTTTATACTTGTTCTTTAAAAAAATCTGAAGTATATTAAAAAAATTTATTTTTCGCAAAAAGATATGATATTTTTGAGATATTAATATTTGATCATTGTTGGGTCAGCTTTATATTAAATTTAAGTTTTGTACATAAAATAATACATTCGTTTAAAAATATATTATAATAAATTTTTTTTTTTTGATTTCTAAAGGAATATAAAGTGTATTTTCTTATAAAGGAATATGAAAATTTTCTACATTAACAATTGAAAAAAGTCTTATTATTCTATTTACCAAAATATGACAACTTTAATAGCGAGACCTTCTTAAATTACTGGAACGTTAACGTTTAAAGTTTATTAAGCTAATAAGCTGAAGAACATTCGGCATGAATAAAAAAATTAGAAAAGTTACACGTGAAAATCCTCCCATTCCTAGTGATTGTCAATTTAGAATCATGTAACATTAACCTTGTTTAGTCAAGCGGTTTTGTAAACCGTAAATTATGTAACGTGTTTACTAATTAAGTGATCATCACAAAGCTAACCTTCGATAAAGTACTTCCAAATGACATACGAATTTTCTGAAATTCCATGCATATTGATAAAAAAAATCTTGGAAATACTTTTTAGAAAGTTCTATCTTTTAAATTTCCGAAATAATGAATCATCGAAAAAAACTATATATATGTTGTAAAAATTCTAATTATTTGTCAGTACTTACTTATATATAATATTATAAAATGGAGCTTACAAATGATGATTCTTTGGATCCGACGCCAAAATTAAAATCTAGCCCTGTGCCGATTTCATTTATTTCATTCAATAGAGATGATGAAAATTGTATTCGTTGCGGTGATATATATACTAGGACAACAATCAATTATCAAAAATACTGCAAAAAATGTTTATCGGGTTACCTTACTAATATAACTGATAAAAATATATATTTAGATGTATATATATTTACAAGGAACTTAGAATGTAATGAACATGACATAAGTATGACAAAAGAACCACAAAATATTCAAGAATGCTGTAGAAATTGCATAGAAATATTATGCTTTAAACAAATATACCATCATCATATTAAATATTATGTAGATAAGAATGATAATTTAATCAATAATGTGATTATTAGTGAAAAAAATTGTAAATTATGTGGAAAGGCATTCCATAAAACATATGATGGTTTTGTATTATGTTCAGATTGTTATCTAATTTCTTCCGAATATACAGAATCAACTTTGTCTAAAAAACCAATACCAATTATTTATTTACCATGGTGGCATAATTTATTTAATTGTCAAGCTTGTTTTTCAAAATTAAAATTTACATCAGACTGTCAAAAGTATTGTGAAAATTGTTTAATATTTTATACCGGATGTAGATATTGTTTAACAACAAATGTTATTTTTGGCGTTACAAATCAATCAAAATGTAAAAAGTGTAAAAGAGTATCATCAATAATTTTTGATATAGAAAAATTTAGAAGCGGAAATAGCGATTTAGATGATTTTCTTGATAATTTAAGACTTGAAATTCACAATCGATTGGAAATAACTAGATTTACCGACACAATAAAAAATATTGACAAATACTTTCACCCAACTGCATTATTTAGTTCTATTTATAGAATGATTAATAATAGAGCAGAAATTTTGATGGAATGGATACCATATTCTCAATTTACAAATGTAAAAGAAATAGCAAAGGGAGGATTTGGTATTATATATCAAGCGACTTGGTTAGATGGTTCAATAAGTAATGAAGCTATTTATAATAAAGGGTTAGTAAGAGAGAGAAGAAATAATGAAACTGTCATATTAAAAAAGTTTAATAATTCTCAAGGAATTAGTAAACATTTTTTAGATGAGGTAAATACAATATATTAATATTTAAATTATTTATTATGATTGCAAAATAAATAGGTTGATTTTAACCTTTTTACTCTCAAAAATTATAGTTAAAATCGAATCAACATTGTTATGTACTTAATCGTCATATTATTAGAACTTATGGTTTTACAAAAGATCCCAACTCTGATGATTATATTCTAGTTATGCAATATGCATCGGGAGGAGATTTACATAAATATTTACGAGAGCAATTTACAAATATTACATGGGATAAACGAAAAATAAGTATTTTGTGGCAAATTGCAAAAGGGTATTTATAATTATATATTTATTATGTTTATCAGTATTAATTATAATTAGTTAATTTCCTATTCTTTTACTCTAGGCTCGAAACAATACATAATGCAAAATTTATACATCGTGATTTTCATAGTGGGAACATGTTAATTGATTTATCATACGATAAAGCACATCAATGGCAAATTGGAGACTTAGGATTATCTCAGCCTGTAGATAGCGTATCATCAAATAATGAAATATATGGGGTGATACCATATATCGCACCAGAAATATTTAAAGGATCTACATTTTCCAAAGAATCTGATGTTTATTGTGTGGGTATGATTATGTGGGAACTTACGACAGGTTGTAAACCTTTTGCTAATGTTGAACATGATATCAATCTGATTTACAAAATTCTTGACGGAGAGCGACCTGAAATTACAAAAGATACACCTGAATGTTACGCTAATTTAATGAAAAGTTGTTGGGATCCTGATCCGGAAAAAAGACCTTCTATAACGGAAATTCGTAAGATTTTGAATAAATGGTATTTAGAAATAATGATTTAGAACAATTCAAAAAAGCTGAAATAAAAAGAAAAGAGTTAATAAATTTGAAGGAACTTGGTCCTAAATTTAATGGAAAAACTCATCCAAGTGCAATATATACAAGTAGACTATTAAGATCTTTTATTTCTAGATGTTCATCTTATTTTTCAAAAGGTAAGTAGTAAATGGTAAATAAATGATTAAATCCTTGGATGAATATATCAAATTTTTTTTTGTAGATTACAATTCAATAGAACTAGAGTTTGACATAGGTATTAAAAGGTACTATTTAAGGTTTAAATTTTTTAGTCTATCATTACATAACTTAAATTCAAATGATTCGAATACTATTAGCTCAAACATACTCGGAACAAAGCGAAATCTTGAAGAATTAGAAATCGATTCTTATGGAAATAGTGGTATATATTAATTTGACTAAATGTTATCAATATTGAGTTTATATTTATTTAATTCTTATACATTTTTTAATTTAAAAAAATAGGAAAGCACATTAAAATTGAATCCACTTAATAAAAGATTTCTCTCACAGGCCGTTAAGTGTAAACGATAATGATGATATGAAAAAAATCCGAATTAATAGAATAAATATTCTTCGTATATAATTTGATTTTTTTTTACATTTTCATGTACGCTATGCGAACTTATATTATTTTAAGAGATATTAAAGTATTAAACGTGTATAACGATAATTGGATATTAATATTACTTACAAAACATAAAAGTAGGGTGCATAATTACAAATATTTATTTTTATATTTAATAAACTTTAGTCAAATACGAAGCTGAAACACTTTCTTGCTTCAGCATATCACAGTATTTTAATAAACATTTTAGTAAAATCAAAATTCTTAATAACGTGGCGCAGCCAAAGCACGGCCTAATTCAAAATACTTGAATTGTTGTTTTATATGTAATATTTTATCATCAAAAATTAATATCTATTCACACTTTATAATGATATTTTTACGAGACATTCAATATTGAAATCTCGAACTATAAATATTAATACAGTAATAAAATTTAAAAATTATATATATGAACGTTATGAACGAAAAAAGAACAAATGATTGTATTTGTCGTATCAAAGATATGGCCGCAACATTTGAATATTAATAAAAATATATATATACTGTATATAACTTATTATATATTTACAAATAAATCATCCATCTAGTAACATTAACTAAACACATTAAAATTATGAGCCGCCATACTGATCAAAAAGTCTGGGGTTAAACCCTAGATCAAACCCTGGATTCATCTGCGTTCAAGTTTAACCTTAAATTGAAAATATAAATAAGATAATTATAATAGCAATTTAGTGATATCGTAAATGTATAAATAAATTTTATTACCATTAGCATATTAATATATAAATAATAAATATATATATATAATTTTTTTTCCAATAAGACTATAAATGTTTCACACCCGGCCGGTGTCACATGACCAAAAAAATAACATTTCACGACATTCACATGACCCGCACGGGGATGAGAAACTATTTTATTTATTTGGCCTAACAGATTACTCTAAACTGGTTATATTTCTGGTATTATATTTTATTTTCTCTTTGGATTCTTCTTGTCAGTTTCATTCATTCCCTTCCTATAATATCATTTTTACAGTTGATACTATTTTACTTCCTTTGTTGTTATCGTTAAGTTGAATTCGTTGTCAAGGATTTTATAAAAAATTTTCCGTGAAAAACTCTGATAAATGATCATTTTTCTAATTTATATTCCAAGAAAACTCCAACATGTGATCAATTTTCTAAAAAATTTTTATAGGGGTACACGAATCATTTTAAAGAAAAAGAATTATTTAGAATAGCTTTGTTAGGAACTCTTATTTCATCATTAAAGAAACCATTCAATGCATTTAATAGTGGATGATATGATATAAGAATAAATTTCTTTTACTCCTTTAACCATTTGTTAAACTTTGGTTCTTTTTTTTTTTTAACTTTGTTCTAATATTCAAATTGTTCCTCTTATATATCTTAATTGTAAATTATTATTAGTCAAAATAACTAGTGACCAACGACCTTGGACTTATTTAATTTTTCGAATAATATATTCTTATTAGTCCTTTTATATCTTATCAATAATAACAACTAATAACTATGATAGCTGTTAAAATTTAATGGAGCTATTACTATATTAGCTGTTTATTTTTTATCTGGTCCATGAGAAATCTTATTAAAATACTATCCAGATGAAATTAAACCATGTATATTAGCATAATTCTATGCTATGCTATAATTTATTTCAATATATTTCATATTCTTTGGGTGATCATACCCTATAAAAAAATTTATCCGTTATTTTTGTAAAAACTCCGTAAAAATGAACCTTTCCCGGATCCATTCACGGAAAATGTAAATAATTCGATAAATTCCGTGGATATAAGGTTATTAATTCCGAAAATATGAGCCTTTTACGGAAAAAAAACGGAATATAAAAAACGGATCGACAGGGATAAATGTTGTATTTCTTTAGCTGAAGTTGAAAATGTTTTATATTATCCTTGCCATGCACATTTTATTTTTCTTCATACTTAATATAGCAGAATTGCAATCATATATAGAAGACCAAGCATGTATGTAGCCATAATAACCTTTAAATTCATAAGTAATAGAAATTTTTTCCTATAAATATTACGATATCCATCTCTAGAATATATGATTATAAAAATATCCAGTATTATTATAAAAGAATAATATCTTTATATAATGTTGGTTTTTTTTAGTAGAAACAATCTGTTTGCAACTTTTAAAATTAATATTAGAGTTTTAAGAATGAAAAAAAATTCAAGATAGGGAGAGGTATTGATAGATTGGTTCTTTTACTTGATTTTTTATCCTTTTATTTTTCAAAAAAATGCTTAGTTTTTAATTGTGCAATTGGGCTTATATAATTGAGGCTTATTTGGCTTAGTTCTTAATTGGTTTAATTGGTTTACTTAGTTGAGGCTTATTAGGTTTAGTTTTTTTTAATTTAACTTAGTTAGGCACTTAGGATTACTTAGTTGAGGCTTATTAGGCTTAGTTTTAGTTTTTTAATTTGGGCTGTTAGGCTTACTTAGTTGAGGCTTATTAGGCTTATTAGGCTTAATTTAAATTAATAATTTCAATTGGGCTTAGTTGGGCTTAGGCTTAACCACATAAAAATAACATAAAAAATATCTTGCCATTTTTGTTCCTGTGTAAGGTTTACAAAGAAGAAAATGATGTAAATTATATCAATATCATATACAAATATCCATGATAATTAAAGAACACTCTCTTACTAAAAACTGTTATATGGCCACTCTTAACAGACTTAATTGGTAATGATAAAATTAAAAAAACTATTTATAAATTTCGCGTTATGACATTGACAAATAACTACAGTATATAGTAGCTTTTACAGCACAAGATGAAACAAAGTACAATGTTAGTGGTGTGGCGATGTGAGTTTGTAGATTGATGTATTTAGCGTGTTATTAATTTGTATTTCTTAGAATAGTATCACATTTCATTTAATATTCTTGGCAAAAAAGAGGTGAATAGTAAATCCATTCTAGGAGTGGTGAGTTTGTAATTTGAGGATGGTTTTGGATTGGTATGTTTAATACTATTGTGTTTTTTATTTTATCTTTTTAGAATGAACTTGTATTTCGTGATGAAAAATGGATTTCCAACATTAGATCAAGAACTGCGGATTTATGTTTAATTCCAAAATGGTCATATTGTAATATTTATAAAGATGAGTCACATTTGTCACATCAATTAGCTATTTGATCTGAAACTAGTACTGTAATATGAATCTTAACAGTCATGGACAATTATAATATTATAAATATTATAGTACGCACGGATTAAGCCACTGATGTGGAAAATTTAATCAATCACCCATTAATCATGTAAGCCAAACTTTTTGTTATTACAGGTATAGCTAATTAAACAAACATACTGTATATTCAGTTGTAAATACATTCTCTCATTATTGCTTTATAGCTTTATCAAAATTTCTTCAGAAATGTATAACAATTTTAAAAATAAATAAATAATGAACTTCTTTAATATAGCCATACTGCATTTTCAATAAAGAGACTTTTTTTTATACTTATGAATGTTAATGTTCAGGATTTTCCGAATATGTTTTTCTGTATATAGTAAGCTAGTACAATACGTTCCGTAGTACTCAGACGGACTTTTTTGATTTTCATACTCATGTGATTGAATTTGCGAGAATGAATAATATGCTATATTTATGTTACAATTAAGTAATATTTTAACAAGATTTATTTTACCCTCTTTTTATTCTTGGCGATAAAAAAATAATCAGTTGGCATTTTTTTAACCATTATTTTTCGACTAATGAGATGATTTGCTCTTTTTTTGTCTTTAAAGTTTTTACCCTGTAAAAAAAAAATGTCCGGAAATTGTAGCTAAAAACATCCGGAAAATGTCCGTGTGTCCGGAAAACGTCCAGAAAATTGCAATATTCCGGACACTTTCTGGACGCCGGGTCTGAACCCTCCTAGACATTTTCTGGACATTTTCCGGAAAATGGAAATTTTCCAACGTCCGGAATATTGCAATATTCCGGACATATTCCAGACAAATAAACATTTTCCGGACGTTTTCAGCTACAATTTCCGGACATTCTTTTTTTATAGGGTTACCATTATTTTACTCCCTTCTCCTTGAGCAGTAATTATTTTTCCGTTATCACAAAAAACATTATTTCTTAACCGCTGCTTTACTATACCCTGAATTTGAAATAAATTTTATAAATCCCCTTAATTTTTATCAGTTCTATAGATCAGTCCATATGTGTACGAAAATTCAAAGTTGTATTAACATTAAAATTGGAGCTTTCGTAAGTACTAGTATAATTCATTTTAAATTTTGTAAACGTACGTACAACCAAAATTTTAATGACGTATAGTACTACTTATTATCTTTTTTCTGATAAAATATATGTGTAAACTATATATAGACAACCTTGAATACAAAACTCAGCTTATACTAATTTACAGAATGATGTCATTCATAAATTACTGAACTGAAATTTAATTGAATTATAGAAATTATTAAAAATACATACAAATTTGTTCCAGTGAAAAATAAATTAGTTATTAAATTTGTTTGTCAACTGAACATATCAAGGAGTAAATTTCAGTATAAATTATCCAAGTTAGGAAAACTAGTATATGAAATATAACTGATTTGTAGTAGCAACTTATTAAGAATCCACCAATAAAAAAAAGGAAATCATTCCTGAAAATATTATATAAACTTTTTTTATTTTTAAACAAAAATAATTCTTCATATAAGAACTTTCCAAAGCTCATAATTTGATACTTATAATCAACTTCATAATAAATTAAATATTTTTCAGCATAATAAATATTGAAAATTCTTCTTGTCTATCGATAAATTATAATCTTTTAAATGCATTATCTCTTCGAAAATTCATCTTAGTGACGATAACTAATATTATAATTATAGTTATTTTTTAGGCCATGCAAACTTGATTTTTCGGTTCTCATAACATAACAATTTTGAAAATGACCCGGCAACCCAGCTTTTAATTTTTTTCAAATATTTTATATGTAAAATTCATATGAAATTTTTTTTTACTTTTAAAAGATCTCACCTGGTATAGTAGTAATAATAAAAATATTTTTTGAAATTTAACAAAAAACTGACCCGGCCAGGATATGAGAACCGAAAAATTAAGTTTGTATGGTCTAATATTGTGATTTCAAACTATACTTTTTTTTCAAAATATGAATTCAAAAAAGAATATAATACAAATAAATAAAATAAAAAATATATTGAATTTACATCTAAAATACAAATAATATAAAATACAACATATTTAAAGTTTATGTTATACACAAGTATAATGTTCTGCTTAGCTTAGTGATATAGTAAAAACTAATAATATATTGATTTATTGACACATGAATTTCTTTAGCTATTAGAAATTATCAATAAATATTTAAAATTATGAGTGGAAATTTAATAAATATTTTAAAAAACAGAAAATAAATAACTGCAGTAGCGGTGATTTTATTTAAATGTTTAAACAAAAATTTTAATTTATCCAACATGAATTGTCCTTTATTTCCTATTTTTAAGTTTTTCTAATCTATCTTGAGCTTCTTGTTGTCCTTGTTCAGCTGATTTTTTGTACCAATAATAGCTTTATCTATATTTTTAACAATTCCTTCTCCATACTCATACATAAAAACAAGATTATATTGAGCCATACTGTCTTCTAAATCGATATAATTCAAATGCCTTTTTCTTATCAATATCAGTTCCAATTCCATATTGATAGCAATATCCTAAACTAATTATTCCATATGAATTTCCTAAATCTGCTGCCTTTTGATATAACTCAAATGCTTTTTTATTATCAATATCAGTTCCAATTCCATATTGATAGCAATATCCTAAACTATTTATTCCAAATGAATCTCCTAAATCTGCAGCCTTTTGATACAATTCAAATGCTTTTTTCTTATCAATATCAGTTCCAATTCCATAGTGATAACAATATCCTAAACTATTTATTCCAGGTGAATTTCCTAAATCTGCAGCCTTTTGATATAATTCAAATGCTTTTTTATTATCAATATCAGTTCCAATTCCTAAAAAATTAAGTTCACCAAGTAAGAAAAGAGAATTTGAACTATTTTGATTATTTGATAATAAATTATTAAATTCTTGTAAAGTTATATTATGACTATTAAGATAAGTTAGGAATTTTTGTTTTCCTATTTCAATACTATTATATTCAAAATTAATCATATCATTAACCATTGTATCAAAGCTATTCTCAAATTGGTTACTTGATGACATCGAAGATTCAATTTCTTTTGTATTCATCATATCGAAGTTTTGAATAACTTGAGACAAATCTCCATGTAATGAATCAATATTTTCAGAAATTTCACCATTCAAAATTGGCTGCTGATTATTACTAGATGATTGTGTAATTTTATTATCATTAAATAAGTGAAAGTCTTTGATAATTATATTTTCTTTTTTTGTAATTTCTTTTAATTTATCAAACACTTGGTTGATAAATGGACGATCATCAGGTTCAATATTCCAACAATCTATAAAAAATATATATTAATTGAAATTTGTATTATTATTTTTAAATCATAGGTTTAATTAGTATTTACCAGTATAAATTTTTATATATTCTTCAGGTGTATCAGGAATTGGTATCTCTCTAAGACCTTGTAAAATTTCCATGGCCAAACCGAGATCGTTCAATTCATTACAAAAAGGTGGTCGTCCACTAGAAATTTCCCATAAGAGCATACCAATACTGTAAACATCACTCTTCTCATTTAATGAGTATACTTCTTGCTGGTTATTGTGACTATTTCTTTTTCTATTGAATATTTTTGGATCAACATAAGCAATCATTCCAAATACTTTTGATTGAAGGTTGGATGATTCATCGATCCTTTTAGAAAGTCCAAAATCGGCTAACTTAACAGTATTCTGATGAACTAATATATTTTTTGAGTGCTATTATTAAGTATAAAAAATTAAACTAAGTTAAAATGAGCATTAAATAAAAATAATTATAATAAATCATAAAATTTATTAATTACCAAATCACGGTGCACGATTCCTTCACCATGTAAGCATGATACTGCATAAACCAGTTGAAATGCAAGACTAAATTTATCGTTCCAAGTAAGATTTTCAAAATTTTCTTTCAAATAATCTCGAAGTGTTCCACCATCAGCATACTCTATTACCAACGAATATTCTTTGATCTGATTTTCTTTTAAAAAGAAAAACACACAAGTTAATTAATGATTATATGTTAAAAAATGATTATTGAAAACTTAACATAATCCTACTGAAAGTTGTTAAGCCATAAAAACGGATAACATTATCATAAAAATCAACTTCACGATGATGTTGAATCTAAATAATAAATATATATATATATTAGAAATGTTAATATTATAATAATTGTTTTGATATTATAATTACCTCACGAACAATTGCTTTAATTGTAGCATCATTTAAATTATAAAAAGATTTAAGTGCACAACATTTATGAGAATCCTTCCAATCTGCACGATAAACTTTTCCAAAGCCTCCAGAACCAATTTCTTGAATATTATAAAATTGGCCAAATTCATAAAATTTAATAAGTTTTTTAGAAATTGCTTCTTCTATCCAATTACATTCATTTGAATTATTAATAAGTTCAGTGTTATTAGACATTGTTATGTGCAAGAAAATTTTTACTGTGAAAGTTAATTTTACGGTTTTACAAAGGTAGAATTTTAAAAAAAAAAATACAAATATTTTTAACTATTTATAGATAGGATAGTATCACCAGACATTTCTATGTCGAAAGTCCCATATGCGCTAATCTATACCCTAACCCTAATTTTTTTGAGATAACCCCAAATTTTATGGACCAATCATAACGATAGTCAAATCACCTGACATTATGTGGTAACACTGATGACGCCACTAATGACGCCAAAAAATTTTTATACATACGATGTAAATTTTTCTGTTACTGTTACGAAAGTTAAGTGGTAAAGAAATATGGTATTAAGACTCATATTGAATTTTTAATAACCAGAAATTTTTATACTTATCGCATTTTTATAGATCTGTTGTACAATTTTTTATATGCTGCTATTTTTTAACGCGTAAAAAAACTGTTACTTTCAATGTCAAATTCTAAGCAGCAAAAACCTTTTGAAAAAGAAAATTACCCTATTTCATCTGAAATAATATACTATGGTGACCGAAAATTTACTTATGTTGTTATTCAAGAAGGTACCTACCCACCAACTGTAAATCATACCGAAGCACCTAATTATTTTCCTATACCTGATAATTATATTATTAAAACTACCTGGGGTCGGGCTAGTAGAAGTCGTACTATTCAATGTTCTATTTATTACGCAGAAGAAAAACCTCATTACCTAATTTGTTTTGGAGATAATTTACAATATCAAGTTGTTTCGGCTCAATCACCATTTGATGCTTCTGTTGAACTGCACAAAGTAAGTTTTTATACATTTATTATTTTAAAAAAAAATCATAAAAGAATATATTTTAATTTATACATATTTTATCAGATTATAACACCAGATAAGAAGACTGCTGTTTCTGGAGTTTATCTTTTTGGACTTCAATTAAAATGCATTGATAGATATCGCAAAGGTAGACCACGTGAATTGAAACTACATGAAGAATTAAGCAAAACTACACAAATTAAACGTGCAAAAGGTCTTGCGAAAAAAGAACAAATACACTTTGAAAATTCAATTAAAAACTTTTACAATCCTAAAGATCGTGTAGTTTTAAGAACTTTGGATTTTACTATAGAAAATAAAGAATATCATGTAACATTTGAAGATGATGATAGTGTTAAAAAAAAACAAAAATTACAATCAATGGCATATGTACAAGATATAGAAAATATACCTCGTAATGCATATCGCCATCTTGCAGCTGTAGAATCAACATTACCACGAGAATATGCTATTTCTCAAACCCGTCAAGAGATTAATGCATGTATGGGAGAATTAATACCCATTAATTTTATTGATTTAAATTCTACTATTGTACAAGAAGGACCATTGGAAGAACCTGATATAACCGATCCATTAATTATTGAACAAGTTGTTAGTGCAACAGGAAAGGGTGCTTACCGAAGTGTTAAAAAAATTCTTGAATATATAATACC